TGACTGAAACTGTTATATAGATAGATTATTATTTGCTTTATTTCTGACCAAAATGTACATAAAGGGACGTTTTCTGTTCAATGTTTTGAAGTCACATGACCCCACCCCCCAGTTGCATTCTCAGTTCCATTCCAGGTGCCCCAAGGGAAAAGGCGTGCCGAGTCTTCTGGTCAAAGCAGCCACAGCCTGACTAGAGAGGCCCGTCCCCTGCCAGCAGCTGCAAAGCAGGACCCTTGTGTGGAAGCAGCAGCCTCTCTGCAGAGGTCCCACGTGCCAACTGCTGAGTCAGAGCTATAGCTCCCTGCTGATTGGAGAGCTGTAGCTTTAACAGACCAGGGGGCGTGTCCGACCCCTGCAGAGAGACCACTGCTTCCACGCATAGAGCAAGGGCTCATCTGCAAAGCTCCTGCTCTCTGCTGATAGGAGAGCTCTATAACAGAGAAAGGGGCGTGTCCGACCTCTACAGAGAGGCCACTGCTTCCACGCATAGAGCAAGGGCTCATCTGCAAAGCTCATGCTCCCTGCTGATAGGAGCGCTCTATAACAGAGAAAGGGGCGTGTCTGACCTCTACAGAGAGACCACTGCTTCCACGCATAGAACAAGGGCTCATCTGCAAAGCTCATGCTCCCTGCTGATAGGAGAGCTCTATAACAGAGAAAGGGGCGTGTCCAACCTCTACAGAGAGACCACTGCTTCCACGCATAGAGCAAGGGCTCATCTGCAAAGCTCATGCTCCCTGCTGATAGGAGAGCTCTATAACAGAGAAAGGGGCGTGTCCGACCTCTACAGAGAGACCACTGCTTCCACGCATCGAGCAAGGGCTCATCTGCAAAGCTCATGCTCCCTGCTGATAGGAGAGCTCTATAACAGAGAAAGGGGCGTGTCCGTCTCTACAGAGAGGCCACTGCTTCCACGCATAGAGCAAGGGCTCATCTGCAAAGCTCATGCTCCCTGCTGATAGGAGCGCTCTATAACAGAAAGGGACGTGTCCGACCTCTACAGAGAGACCACTGCTTCCACGCATAGAGCAAGGGCTCATCTGCAAAGCTCATGCTCCCTGCTGATAGGAGAGCTCTATAACAGAGAAAGGGGCGTGTCCGACCTCTACAGAGAGGCCACTGCTTCCTCACCAAGAGCAAGGGTTCTTCTCTGCATCATGCTGGCAGGGGACAGGCTTCTATACTCCTAATGTGGCTGCTTTGTAAAGAAAACCAATGGTAAGCCTCCACAGGCCTTTGTTTTGGAGCGTCTGGAATGTGTTATTCAACGTTGTCCTTTATAGGACCTCGCATCCCACATTCAACAGATATGCGCTTTGAGGTCCTTGTTGGATGGAAATCTTTGAAGTGACGTTAAGATTGTTCTGATTTATGTTTATTTCATAGACTCCGCCTTGCGCTCCCCTGTCTCATCTGGAGGTGCTGAGCCTCCCCGGTTCAATAACTGCTGAAGCTGAGTTAGCCTTATAAGGGGGCTAATTGTTTTCAGCCAGTCAGTGCTGACCCATAGGTTTGCATTGAGAAGGGTAAAGCGCAATCGCTGCTCGGCACCAATGAGCAGGAAGCCGAGCCCTGTGTGTGTGTATAATTGATATGCAGTTACATTGTTGGGATCATTTTGCATTGAAGCGATCTCCTACATACATGTACATGTCAAATAAAACATTGGACTTCAGTCTATATGTCAGAGTCACCTGCTTTGTTTTGTTTTCAGATAATGCGGTTTATATCTAGCTGGGCTGAGGGGTTCTGGTTGTCATTCTCATCCCTGTTGCAGGATCTTGGTGTGCAATGGGGACACAGGAAGTTGGGTCCGTGTCAGGGATGCCAACCTAACTCAGACCCCGCCCCCTGAGTCCCAGCTGGCCAATAGGGGTTGGCGATACTGAGCTAATATGGGGAATGAAATCACCCAGGCCGCTTATAAATGAATTATTTCAGCCCCATCTGGGTGTCTGCAGGTGCGCCCGTCCTTGCAATTGCAATCCCTTCCGCCTGGCCTGCTTTGTATCAAAACCTCACAGCTATGATTATATTTCTGGTCTCGTTCAGTATTCTGTGTGACCCCCTGGACAGTGTTAAAGGACAACTCCACCCAAAGTCAATCATTTGGTAGCTACGGGAAAATATTTGCAATTCATAGTAAGAACTAGGGATGTCCCGATACTGGGCATTTTCAGGAGTACTTGTATTCCTGAGTGCCTCGATACTAAAGGCCGATACCGGCCCTTGAAATTTTTTTAAACTGATAGGCTGCCGAGGTCCTGAGCTTGTGGGGGGCCTGAGCAGCCTGCTGGGGACCTGGCGGTAGCTGTCCTTGGCAGTGCCTGTCCAGTCGCCTATCTCCTTCTTCTCCTTCCCGGCGCAGGCACAGCCAAGGACAGCCCCACACTGAGCAAACAGCCCCGGAGACGGCAGGTGACCAGCACCCGATTGTTCAGCTCGATGCCCGTCCGCAGAGGCCCACATGCAGCCTGGTGACATCTGCACGCAGCCCTGGTGACATCTGCACGCAGCCCTGGTGACATCTGCACGCAGCCCTGGTGACATCTGCACGCAGCCCTGGTGAGAAACTGTCCAAAAATCATCAGTCTGTACTGTTTTAGAAAAAATGTCACATGCTCCTTGAAGAAAAAGTATCGGTAATTGGTATCGGCGAGTACCTGAGGGGAAGTATGGTATCGGGACATCCCTAGTAAGAACACATTGATACATTGAGGCCTCAGTGGCTGGACCGATCTGTGTTCTTCTAATAGAAGATAATTCTTCAGGTGGAGTTGTCCCTTAATTCCTTGATTCTCAACTGGTGGGCCGTGACTCTGTGTTCAGGGGATCGCCGCTTGCCTTTCACTTTTCTAGGTGAGGGGCTCCTCAGCCTCCCCCTAGAGCAGCACTGTTAGTTCCCGCACTGTGCAGCCATTCAGAATATGCTGCCCGGCACCGATTATCAGCATGAGGTGGGCTGGGGTTATGGCAGCGAGGGAGCTCCATCCATACTTGCATTGCTTACAGCTCCCTCGCGTGTCCTGTAGAGGTGCCTGGACCGGAGTGACGTCACATTCTGGCTGCCGGCACCTCTACCAGGCGTGAGCTGTAGAAGCAATGTACGCCTGGATGGACACACTGCCGTGGGTTGCGGTGCAACTTAACCTCCCTGGCGGTATTCCCGAGTGTAGCTCGGGGTTACTTCTCCATACCGTAAGCGGTAACCCCGAGCTACACGCGTTTTCTGTTACAGGTTGCATGTTTATTTTATTTAGCTCCAGTCATGGAATGTTCTCATAGACACAATATGAACAGTTGCCAGTGCCACTGGGTACAACAGAGCCGGTATGAGGGACGTGTAGTGCTATGTGAACGGTCCTCACTTGGTGAAGGTTCACTCACACTTTGCAGCTTGCCTTGACCTGAGTTTTTTTTAATGCATTGACTTATATTATATCCAACCATACATTTGCCTATGGGCACCTAAAGTCCCACCCGTTAGCGGTATCTGGTAGGTTCCATTCTCAGTGATGTCACCGGTATCTAGTGATTGGATAGGCTGCATTCTCAGTGATGTCACCGGTCTCTAGTGATTGGATAGGTTCCATCCTCAGTGATGTCACCGGTCTCTAGTGATTGGATAAGCTGCATTCTCAGTGATGTCACCGGTCTCTAGTGATTGGATAAGCTGCATTCTCAGTGATGTCACCGGTCTCTAGTGATTGGATAAGCTGCATTCTCAGTGATGTCACCGGTCTCTAGTGATTGGATAGGCTGCATTCTCAGTGATGTCACCGGTCTCTAGTGATTGGATAGGACACATTCTCAGTGATGTCACCGGTCTCTAGTGATTGGATAGGCTGCATTCTCAGTGATGTCACCGGTCTCTAGTGATTGGATAGGACACATTATCAGTGATGTCACCGGTCTCTAGTGATTGGATAGGTTGCATTCTCAGTGATGTCACCAGTCTGTGGTGAATGGATTCTCATGCAGTATTGGTTCCAGCCAACAAAACGGCAATCGCTGTGTGTAAGAAAATAAACTCCATTTCCTTCCGATTGTTTGTTTTTTCTCAGGAGTGACATTTTGTCTTCGTGCCGCACTCATGAATGTAAATTGGGAACAATAAATTGTGTTTTGTATGATATGAAAACGTTTCCTTTGTTTGGCGGAGTATAATATTCCCGGGAAGGATTTGAAGAATATAAAATCTTTAATATAAACGTTTTATTGCTCATTTCTCTAATTCGTCTGAAACATCAAATTATCCGAATTGCAATTCTTTGGGCACGATGAAGTCTTCTGTCGCCTCGATCAGAAATATCGCGGAATTTGCAGAAAACCAG